GCATGAGTTAAACCATAATTTAACACTGAAAAAAAAAAAAAAGAAAAAATGAATTTGAAGATAGCAGTCTGTAAGTTCTGTATTTCTTTTATGATAAACATTTTCTAAAAATGATATGACAGGTGCTCCTTTTGTGAAGAATTGAATCATGAAACATTTTTTAATCTATGACTGATCTGGAACAATTTACACCTGCAGGTAGAATCTAAGATTAATTATAAATATCTTCACAAAAACAAGACCTTGTTTCAATTTCCATAAAAATAAGGCAGTTTGAGACGAAGGCATACAAAAACATTACTCATAGTCTGAAAACATAAAGATATATTGCAAAATAAAGATATGAAATGTTAAGTGAAAATCAATATGTTATACTACATGTATACTCATAGTAATGCAAGGTTTTGAACTAACATGAAATAAGTGATACAAATTATATGGATATAAAACCTAATAATGCAAATTTTACTAAGTTTAATAGAAATAAATATAAGAAAATGAAATGTACTGAACATGGATTATGCTTTCCTTAAAAAAAATGAGCAAGGACTTAAAATAACTGACACAGAAGCAGAGATAGATTCAACTGGGCATCAGCTATTAAGCCTCTTTCTTATTTTTAGAAACTTAATTGAATAAGCCAAAACAAAATGTAATAATTTGTGAACATATCACTTTTGTCTAGAGTTATAAAAAAAATCCCAAATGACTAAGCAAAAAGGAAAACCAAAATACATACAGTTTCCTTGTGTTACACCAACTTCTTTTAGCCACAAATTACAAAGTGACAAAGATTTAAGTCTGGGAAGACGGATTTGACTATCAGAAACTATCATTCTGGGCAAATTCACCCCTGATAGTGACAAATATCTTTAGTATTGCAGGCATAGTCAACCTTAATACCTAGGACATACCCCTTCAAACGTAAATGGTATGTTAACCCCCAAGATGAACTATGTACATGCATTTATGACCAAATTAAGGACATATCATCCTTAACTTTCAGGGGTGTACACATTCCCAACATCTAAATTAACCTCATTCCACTTACCTTGGATGTGCTGAATTTGGTCCCCAACACGCACAGAGAACGTCTCCCCAGGATTGACATGCACATGTACCACGTGCTGTCCCGGACCCAGTGTCAGTCCCTGCTGGCCACTGCCACTGCTGAGGCTGGTACCCGCAGGCACAGTTCCCGTACCACCAGCCATGGCGCCGCTGCTGGAGGGAGGTACGGGAGCACCAGTGGACATTGTACCGGTGGCACCATTTTCCCTCTGTGGACTCCCTCCACGAGAAGTTGACCGAGGGGAGTGGCCACTGGGTGAGTGACCCCCACGGGGAGATGCTGAAGGGTCAGATTGGTGGTGATGAGGTGGTGTCTGGTGTGGTGGTGCTTGTGGCCCCTGGGCTGGAGGATGGGTGTGCTGTGGCCCTTGGGCATGAGGTGGGTGTGGTGGGTACCCTCTGGGCGAGTGAACCTTTTGGGTCCCCTCCCCTCTACCTTCACGGTGACGGTTACGGTGGCTCCGAGGCGAGGTCTCCAGGGAGAAGCCTGGCTCAACTGGAGTTGACACCTCCAGTGGGAGACTTTTCTCACTGGAAGACTTTCCAGTCTTCCCAGAATTTCCATTTGAAAGCCCTTTGGTAGCACTAGCCTTGCCATGGGAGACTACATTCTCTTTTACCGCCTTGGTTTTGGTTGGGGATTCCCCGTGATCCAGGCAGGCACTGCTGACTTTGCTGTCTGCTCCATCCAATCCAGCTGGATCTCCATTGCTGTGTGAGTCCCCCGCTCCATTTCCCCGTGGCACTTTCTGGCCACTCTCTGCTTCATTCATTTTGTCTTGCCAGTCTCCTTGCCCATCGTGGACATTGCCTTGTGGTGTTTCTTTAACATTTCCCTTTAAATCCTTATCACCATCTTCCTTTGCGCTTTCATGGCCATTAACCTGGGGGTCCTTGGCCAACTGTTCACTGCTTCCATGACTAGGGGAACTCCCCCCTTTGATCTGAGATTGGTCACTTGTTTTTTCACTCATCCTCATTCCAATTGACTTGTGTTTGATGTGACAGTGTGTTAGTGTGACAAATCAGTGACAATGTGATATTGCGTTAGGTGTCCTTTCTTGGATTGTCTTCACGCATTCTTGTTCCAGCTGACTAGAAAGAGGAGACCCAAATGTAGAAAACTGGAAATTAAAAAAATGTATCCACACAATCAATCAATTTCCACAATTTATATTTCAATTTTCAATAAAATTCTTCAAAATTTTAAAACTGTAAATTACATTACTCCAGTACTTTCATATGATTGGTTCTTCAGAACTAGTCTGGTTTCACAAATGGGGAAATACTTAAAAGTCATGTTCTGGCCGATTTCTTTTAATACAACATCTGAGAAAAAATTCTGCTCAAAAATGTACAACACTAAAAGCTGACAAAAACAGTATTTACTTCATGCAATCTTGCTTTCTGAAAATAATATAACACCAGAATTTTTTATGAAACCATACTTGCTTTCAATTACATCATAGCCAAAATATGCTGTAGTGATGATTTAGCAGATAAAAAGTACCTGATATTACTATGCACCATTAAGTTCAAGCTGATGTGACAAGCAATTGTCTTTAAATCTCTTATTATCCCATATGAAATTTCTTACAGTCACAAAAAACACCCTTCCATTGAGGGTTACCGTTGGGGTAGGGAGGAGGAGCAAACTCACAAAATTAATCTAGTTAAGACGATTTACAACCTTCTGATTCAAATCAATTTCTTCCCATATGGCCCAGGACAGTTATAGCTGATGCTATCACAGAGTGAAGCCAACTAAAATTCACTTAATGGACTGGCTTCACAACAATATGGCACCTTCAGTAAGTAAACAAGTGCACACATACAAGAGTAGTTTCATCTTCCACAATCAATAGTCACCAAGATGTTCAACTTATACTAACCTTGGCCAAAAGTCAAGTTCTTTTTTCATGAATGCATACAAATCAAGTAGCACTGAATTCTTTTAAAAAGTGGTCAACAACTTAAGGTGCAATAACGTAACCCTTTATACGCATTATAAGCATAACAGTTTGTTTTAATTGACTCTAGAAAAATCCCCATGTTAAAACCCTCTTTCTAACTATTTTGAGGTATCCTACCTCAAATTTTCACACTGAACAGCATTTTCCTTAAGAAAAAAAAAAATGGAAAGAATGTTTTATATTCTTTCATATCTCTCGAAATAATTTAGTTTCTGGTCAGACATGTCTGAATTTCTGGTCAGACAAGTGAAACCATGTTCTTTCTTTTTGTTCATCTTTGCTGAGCAATTGTTTATTTTGCTTCTCACTTGACTCAACATTGTATTTATTAGTAATTTTCCAGAAGCTAACCAATGATGACATTCACTTACAGTGTTCTTCAAATAATTTTACTCAAGTTTACAGAGCCACTTTAAAGGCATGCATTTGAGGGTGCCTGGAAGTCTGCTTCTGTGCATGTGAAGCATTTTAGTTGCTTTGAAGATTTGCTTTTTCATATATGGCAAGCACTTAGAGTCAATCTATCCCCAAGTACATTTGATTTATTGGTGCTACCGAAAAACCTCTTCTTCCCATGCATAGACCTACACTAAGTATGACTCAGTTTGTGGTTCATGGGGAAGTTGAAAGTTGACTGCATGTTACTTCATGTTGCTTGATCTGCCCGAAGTAATGTTCATTTTCTAATGCAATTCATATATTTAACATGGTTAGTTATGCAGTTCATAGAAAATGTACATGTCATCAATAATGGGCTGTTTGCCTCATTTATCAGTGCTATAGATGATTATGAGGTAGCTAATATATACTATGATATAGTATATTATAAATGCACAGGTGGATATCCATTTTTCCCACTTCCAATACTGTACGACGTAATGTCAATTAGCGTGACCAAAGAATTGTAGCAGACTTTGTCTAGCTATCCTGAAAAACTTACACATGTACTTTGAGAATTCCAAACCGATCATAACATGTTCAAAATAAATACGAATGAATGAATGATGAAGGGCTGTAAAAAGCACCTATTGCTGGTCCATCTATTCTAGAAAATCTGAAATAAGCTCTAGGCCCTCTTTAGTTTTTATTCTTATCTTTTCATCTCATTATCCTAGACTTCACACAGGCAAACCATCGAACATCTGGTCCAAATACCCACTTTCATTTATGCACTGATTGCGAATGTCATTTCAAGTTGGACCAAAACAAAGATAACTGAATGTTGCAAGATATAGATTTTTGAGATAATTCGTAGAGTATATATACTACATCTCTCTAGAAAGCAGACAACTGGCTGTCAGTTGACTAGTCTAGCGGACGGGTGCTTATTAATCATTATCAACATACGAGATATATCAGAACAGCATTTGTCCCGACAGAAAAAAATCTGCTGCCCGGACATATGCTTAATTTCATTAGAGCTTCCAGCTAAATGGTCTAAGAAACATATCCTTACCTTGTCAGTTTATGTTTAAACTAAGCTCACTTTTCGTTGAATATTCCCTTCGGTTTTCCCGATTTTACGCTAGTTTCATAAGAAAAAAACCCATTTGGTACGAGCGTCCCTCATACCGCCATATTGAATATTAAATACCCTGACCTTGTAGGGGATTATGGGATTGCAATGACCCGAATAAATAAAGCTTCAAAGCAAGCTGGTAGACTATTCGTGACTATTCTACATATTCTGGTATTTTTTATTTAGTAGGGATGTATATGAAGACCCTTTTAGCTTTTGTTATATTTGCGCCAACTATGAAACTTTCAAAAATATTATGTAAATTAAAATACCACTAGAGGGGAGGTGTGTATACTTACCACGACAAGCCACTGACGAGCGTCACAGCCCACCCACACGTTTTATGAATGAATACAATCGATATGACGTCCGAGAGATTATTTTTAGCACAGCTCACGTACATGTCTTCCCCAAACAATCAAATCAACAACTAATCTGCGAAAAACCAATATCCATTCGTGATATTTTTAGTGTGATTAAGTGACTTTGATCTAAAGTCGATTACTTGTGATTCCCCGTTAAATGTGCTGATTATAAGCAATATCATTTCAATAAAGGCATACATGATATCAAATAATTTCTAGGGGGCGGAACGAATAATTTTCAACTCGATTACTTCCTGGAGTGAAAATATATTAGGTTGAAATGATCGGAAATTATTTAGGAAACGATCAGTGCAAAAATGGGAAATCCATAGGCCTACATGTACGTACATCTCCGTGTAATTCACGCATCCCACGCAGGTAGGGACATTGAACACGGAGTGTCTGAGGTGTCGTACCTCATAAACAAAAACAGCGGATTTACAATGGTTATTTTAAAAACGACTGTGGTAGAGTTATTCTGAATGAAACTGACTTCAGATCTCGGACGATAGGCCTACCTTGGATCGAAATATCCTGGTTCCACTTTCTTTATCAATAGGCCTAGTGTGTAATTGGGCACTATATTCATCGTAGGTGGCAAGGAATCAATTAGGAATTCAAACTATGTATGTAGTAAAAAAAATACCCTTTACCCATCACCTTTAAATAGTCTAATAGAAAAAACATCTTTTGAATGCTCAAGTACTGGATGTAGTCTTGTGGAACGAGCTTCCCAGCCATATAAAATGTGCCCCATAAACAAATCTCGTTTTAAATGTCTAGTCAGAAAAATTTCATCACCTCAGAATTGTATGTTTTAATAAATGTTTTTTTTTTTAAATTATAATTGCTAGTCTTAACATTTTGTTGCTAATAAAATTTCCGAAAATTTAAATGTACAGAAAACTCCTGTATATATATATATATATACAGAGAGAGAGAGAGAGAGAGAGAGAGAGTTAAGCATACAAATAAAATTTATATACATGTAGTTTTGGAGCTCCCTTTTTTATGATGTTTGTTTAGTATTAATTATAAAAACTTAATTTACATAAAAAATTGCTTTTGTTGTAGTTTAGAAAGGAGCGTAGTGAGCTTAAAGGGATAACAACTTTTCGTAAGAGATCCATATTTCAAAATAAACACAATGTTACCAAGTTAACAACTCATGGAAATATAATAGATTCTATTATCCCACCAAAACTGCGGTTAAAAAAACCAAACTTTTTTGAAAAAAAAGGAATTAATTGTTAGCAGTAGGCCTATATTTTTTTAAGAACAGTTGTTATCTCTTTAAGGCCAGAGTAGACAAGCGTTGGGGAGAGGCTTAACAATGCCGAGGGGGTCTACGTTTTTATAGGTAATTTGAGGTCAATGAAAAATGTTGTAGAATGCATAGCGTACATCCTATTTTCATTTTCTAATACATTCCATTATTTGTTAGATATTATTGTTCTCACGATCAAGATCTAATCATTTTTTTTTCTAATTTTTATTTTGACATACTCGACTGTTTTTCTTGATCGTGTTTTCTATTCTTGTCTTGATTTGGTCCTGTCTTGGACTTTAAAAATACAATCGACGGCGCAAAGTTTCACTTTTCTAGCTTGCGCTAGAATAAAATACCAAAATACACGGATTTCAGTGTGCATCGAAAGCCTCGCCGAATCAGGACATAATTAAGTAAGCTGAGCAGTACTCTATTTCATGGACACATTTGGGACGACTTAAGTCAAGGTATGGAGTTATTTGGTTTAAACGATTTTAAGTGTACTGTGCAGTGTGACAGTGTGTACATGTACTTTACTGTGACAAAAATGTCAGGGTTAGCAATAAACTCTTGGATGCGGGGGACTCTCGAATCTTTTACTTACCTCTGTCATCTCGCCTTTACTTACCTGTCTCAACTCGTCAAATAACACACATTTTCATGCGTTAACACAAATAGTAAACATCAAAGAACATGAATAGAATTGCTGATGCATGAAACTTCATGCTCGCTAACTAGGTACTTGCAGCTGTACCTGCACATCATGGAAGAACAAAAACTGAGGAAGTAGATGTTTACACACTTTTTTTTCAATTTTATCCATGTCTTTTTTTCATGATTTTCTTTTTAAATTCAGTACAATATTTAAATTTTTTAATTAATCAATTTATTATAAATGTTTTATTTTTGTACTTTTACTAACCCCATGAGGGCTTTGGGTAAGATGAAATTTATATTTACCTTGTTTTTACCCTCAATAAATAAAGTTAAAAAAATTAATTAATTAATTAATTAATACGTGTTGAATTTCCTAAGTGTCTTTGCTATTCAGATAAATTAGTTTTCAGTTTACTTACTGCCCCCCCCCCAACTGTGTTCACCCCCTGAAATGACCCACAGTTCTCACTGTATTTGAATATGTTTGCAGATTCTTGTTAAGACATAGAAACACACAAAACATTAAGATTGTGCTGCGTTTTCATGCAGGTTCAATGTGCAAGCACTGTAGTCAACCAAATCAAACATGAACACCCCTAATTCTTTGCCACACGTTACACATGTAAATTTGTAATTTTATTGTTACCTTTCTTTGTATTCCAGTAGAAAATGGCATAAAAGGTGACAACGACCTCATCTACTGCTGCCCAGGTTAACTCTGTACCATGTCAGATGAATATGGGCCTCCCCTCCCACCAGGGTTCACCAAGGAGAGTTCTGGGAGAGATTCTGGTGACTCTGAGGGCATGAAGGCAAAGGAAGGAGCCATAAATGGATCTTCATTTAAAACTTCAGTTATTGGGCCTATGCTGCCACCAGGGTTTAAAACTGGAAATACTGAAGATAGGGCTTCAATGGATAGTATTGGACCAGTGTTACCCCCTGGGTTTAAATCTGACACAGAGGAGAGGGTGTCAGATATTGGACCTGCTCTACCACCTGGCTTTAAGTCTAGCTCTAGCAGTGAGGACAGAGGATCTGCCATAGGTCCAGCCTTGCCTCCTGGCTTTAAGCCTAGCTCTAGCAGTGAGGACAGAGGATCTGCCATAGGTCCAGCCTTGCCTCCTGGGTTTCAAGTCTAGCTCTGGCAGTGAGGACAGAGGATTTTCCATAGGTCCAGCCTTGCCCCCTGGCTTTAATAGGCGACCTGGGATTGTTGGGCCATCTCTACCTCCAGGGTTTAGTCAGGATACAGAAGATGATGCAGACAGAGATGATGATGATGATGATGATGATGATGATGATGATGATGATTTTGTCATTGGTAATGCAGGGTTTGATTAAATGTTGTAGGCTTTAGACAGTCAGATGCTAAAACCCATTCTTATTTGGCTATGCAAAATGTACGTAATTTACCATTTAATCATTCCAATATTATCTGTTGATTAAAGGAAAATTACTGCTTAATATCCCCTTTACACTGGACGGCGTCCTTTCTGCGTCCTTTCTGCAACCATGAAATTTGGCATCGCTGTGGTCTTATTTAGGAGGCACGAGCATTGATTTTGTATCAGAATGAATGCTCAATGATCGGCCAGTTGTCGGCATGTAAAGTATTATAATTTTTTAACTCTCAAATGGGGCCGTACTGCTGGATGCAGAAAGGACGCCGTCCAGTGTAGAGGGGGCTTTATCTTGGTGCATAATCTATGAAAATTTTCACTGAACAATAAACTGTCTCTTGAATTTTTTCTCAATTTTACGATCTTGGTCTATTTTGTCAGAATACCTAGGGGATTGATCCTGTTCAGAAGCCAAAAAAACGCTGATAGTCCAAAAAAAATCTCACCACATAAATAATATTTAGTTTTCAGTGTTTTCCTTCTGATTGCTGATTCAGTTTTAGGGACCATTCTACTTAGACCCTATTGTACTAACTGTGGATCAATCAATCTGTAATGGGATTCTCACTAAATTGCAATCAACTTAAGCAGCTTAAATGTCTGTCACACATACTGGAGCTGCCAGGGGGTAATATTTTATCGTTTAGCAGCTTCAGTAGGCATGCCAGATGTCTAAGCTGCTTAAGCTGAAAGCAGTTTAGCAAGAAACCCCTCGGGGATGGATCAATCCTATTAGATTGTTCTAGGTATGGGAACCCAGTCTTATTTATTCATCATCATTATTTAGGCCCCATGCCGCCATCAGGTCCCACGCATGAGGAGTCAGTTGCTGCAGAGGTTGAGAGGAGAGCAGAGAAGATGAAGAAAAAACTCCTGGGAGAGGTAACATTATTTTATCATGATATTTTTATTTCATTATTTTATAATCTGGGCAGAAGACTCCACATAATTCAAACAGTGGGGACTGGAAATTTTTACACAAAGGTTCTTGTTAAAAATGTAATCTCAGCTTGTTCCACAAGATTTGTTGAAGATATTCAATTAGGGGGCATTTTATGCTGTTTGTTACAGTATGTATACATTAAAAAAATTATATTAGTTGGGAATAAATTATGTGTTTAATTAGGTACAGTTGGCAGCCTTTTGTTATGATTTGTTATTTTCTGATCTTATTCAATTGGAGGTGAAAAGATTTCTGCTCAGTTGAATTAACTGACATCTGAAGAAGTTTAAAACATTTAGAAAATATAATTGATTATCTTACTTGTAATTGGCTTTATGTGAGAATTAGGCTTTGTTATCTAGAAATGCAGTCTTTGAAATATGTGAGTTTCTATGCTTTGATATTTGTGTTTTCACTCTCTTGTCTCTTTTTTATGTAAGGTATTTTGAACATTCTCATTTTAGATATTCTATTCGATTCTATTCTATTTACATTTTGTAAAACAACTGACAACTGATTGCGACCCCCTCTGCTACTCTTAACATGTCACAACTGACACATTCATCACAACTCTAATGTTGGTGCTGACGTGAGTGTTTGTTATTATATATAAATGATAAATTCCAGGATGAGATAGAGACCCCAGTGGTCACTGAGAGGGAGTCCTGGATGACTGAACTGCCCCCTGACATGGGGGTCAATCTCGGCCTTGGACCAAGGAAGTTCAGGTCTCAGCCTTTGCCAGAGAAGGGAGACAGGTCTGCATGGACTGATACTCCAGCTGATAGAGAGAGAAAGGCAAAGGTGAAGTTGTTGTTTATATGTCAGCCAGCTTATTTATTTATTTATTTATTTATTTATTTATGTACCCACCCACACACATGTTCATTTATTTATCTGATAATTTTTTGATTTTTTTTATTCATTATTCTGATCTGTTTTAATGAACAAAAAAAAAATGATAAGTCTCCATAAAACGTTCAATGTTTCAAGCATACATGCAGCACATGGAATTCTGTTTGAATTCTGAACTTTGACAAGTCAGTTTGTATTTATTTATCTGGGGTAGCGCTATCACTCGCCAATTTAGCCAAATGCTAAAACTGACTGAAATTGGCTAAACAAAGTGGGGTTGATTTGACTCATTTTAGTCAAATTTGAACAATTTGGACAAAAAAGTGATGAAAAAGTAGCAATTTGGCTTAACGGAAAAATTGCTAGCCCCACCCCAGTTTATATATATTTATTAACTTATCTTTTTATTTATTGTTATGCAGGAAATGCAGGAGGGGCGTGGCAGTAAGCGCCAACATGAAGAGGTCTTTATTTCTGAAAGAGACAGGAAGATAACTGCACAGCTACAGGAGTACAATGTGAGTGCGTCAGTATGTGGGAAAAGGTTGAAATCTTTGAGACCTCCTTTTATGATAAATATTACATTGCCTGTTTAATTTCATTTTTTAAATTATTATTATTTTTTTTAGAAACTTTTCTGGGATAATTGCACAACATTGTCAATTTTTTGGGGACCCCCCCCCCCCACACACACACACACACACACACACATCTCATTCCTGAAACCATTGTTCTACTTAGATGGATCCAACACTGCATGGACTCTCATTCAATGCAATCAACCCTCCTTGTGTTGAGTAGAATGCAGAAAAGCTGGTAATTATACAGATATGTCAGAAACAAGAAGAGGCGTGTTAATCTGGTAATCTAATTGCATTCAAGGGGAGTCCCTGCATAGTTGGATCCATCTAGGTAGAACAATAGTTTTGTTGGGAATTGGTCCTTTGACTGGTTTGTGGAAGATTCAGTAGGCTTAAGGGGATTTTTACACAGACTGATCTTAGATCAATTCAGTGTGTCATTTATCATGTATACATAGCCTGGGAAATAGACCCACTTTATGTGAAATTTGATAAGATATTTCTTCCAGTCAAGCAGTAGACATATATGTCAAGGTAAAGATATGGCCTAGTCATCTTTTAATACATTAAAATACAATTTTTAAAAAATTAAAAATATCAATGTGCAGTTATAATTAATCAATATATGTTTTCACATTTTACAGGAAACACAAAGAAAAGAGTCACTGATGGACATGCATTCAAAGAAGTTAAAGAAGAAGAAGGTGATTTTCTATGGCAGTTATAAACTCTTCATAAACCATTTGGGAATGGCACTAAAATACATGGTGGTAACCTAATGTGCTTTGTGTGCTAGGTTTTACAAGTTGACCGCTTTATAAGTCATGTGCACAATTCAAGTTTTAACAAACATAGTCTCTTATTTAATTTACTAATAGGTGCTTGATATAAACAGCTAAAATGTCACTGATTTTGGTTTAAATTGCTGATATGTACAAGATGTACACGGTACAAGAAATTTTAATCTCAGGAACCACTTTCATTTCATGCCTCACCTTGCTGTGAGTGAGAAATCCTTCAAAGTTAACCCACCTGATTTTATTACCAGTCTTAATTAGTCTTGGCCAAGCATTAGTTCATGGGAAATTAAACAAAGGTGCTATAATAATGATCAAATGACTGTGCCCATATTTTTGCCAAAGGTTTTAAAGTTAACTCTTCTTAGAGGAGCATACAGCAAACAGTAGGACATCACTAATTAATTATATTTTTCAGAAGGAAGAAGAAGATAAGCCCAAGGAAAGAAGGGAGTTCAGCAGGGAGGATGATCTGCAGGTCAATAGATTTGATGATGCCAAGAGAAAGCAACTGATCAAAAAGTCACAGCAACTTAACAGTAGATTTGCTCACGGGAAATCTGGACAATTCTTGTGAGCAGCAGATAATGTCACTGGGCAATTTCTGTGAGCAACAGACTTGCTCACAGAAAATCTGGGCAGTTTCTCTGAGCAGTATATTTGCTCATTGGAAATCAGCATATTTGTAAGAGCAACAGATTTGCTCATGGGAAATCTGGACATTTGCTAAGACAGTAGATTTGCTCATGGGAAATCTGGACTATTTTTGTGAGCAGTAGATTTGCTCATTGGATATAGGCATGTTGATATCTGGACATTTGGTGTATGCCACAATTCCAAATAAATTATGGAACAAACTTCTGAGCATTTGAATATGGCGGCACTGCAATTGAATTTAAGACGGATGGAACAGCTCATTAAAACAAAACAGCAACAGCATTGTTAAAAAAAATGTGGAAATTCCTTGTTTATGTTTCTGTATATTTCTATAGTGTATTGTATATATTGGATTATTGCATTGAAATAAGGAATATTTTGGATTGGTTATGCAAGAGTCAATCTCTATCCCTTTAAGTATTAATTTTTTTTAAAACTGTTAAGTTGTTGCCATGAAAAGGAAATCAGTACTGTAAATAACTTAACAGACAGGGGCACTTCTAAGGAACGTCATAAGAATTTTAATTAAAAGAAATTGGGATCATTCCTTGCTCTTTTTGTTATTTGTGGCTGAATATTCAAAATGTGGACATCAGTATACAATTTCTATGCTTGCATGGCTAAATTTGAAACCATTTCACATGTGCTAAACTGTAGATAATCATATATTAAAAAAACTTTTAAAAAATCATTCGATTTTTATTTTTAATAGTAAAGCACAACAGCATGTCCAGCTGCTTACACAAGTTGTTACAAGTTTTTACCCTATCAGTAAAACATGTTTAACAGTAATATTTTGCCCTCTGCTGGCCTAATGCGGAGCCGCCTGGTATGCTGACTACTTGTTGAACTGCTGCAATGAAAAATAGTCGTGTACTTAATAGACCTGGCGCACGTTATGCGGTCACTCACTCTTATGGAAATTTCGCCGCACACGGGCTGTTACCTTTTGCCATAAGTCTGTGCCCTCTCATAAAATATTCTTTTTTCTTTTTATTAATTATTTTATTTTATTATTGTTTTTTGTGAAGACAAGGTGGGATGTGTTCGGCAAAAGAGGTCGTCTATCTTCTATCCCGCTGACATTGTTACAAGATCAATGGTTTATCAAATCTACATTTTAAATCAGAAAATACCAACCAAAGAAGTGTCCATTGTCTTCCAAAATTTTAATTTGCACTTGACAAGAGAAATGTCGTCTTAGGCGTCTAGGTTGTACCTGTATCCTAGGGAGTATCTGTATCCTATGGAATTACAATATTTTAATTACAGCATTATGGTAAGTTCTTTGCATTTTAATTACAAGCTTGCCTCCAAAAGCACAAGGTTCTGCTCACTTGCATTTCGTACAGCAATACTTGGTGTCAATCCCATCTCTAGCAGTGTAACTTTGATGGCTTCCCCTAAATGGGACTCCTCTACGAAGACCTCAAAATGCACAAAATCAATCCCACATCTGGCTGCCTTGGACGCTGCAACAGAGACATGGCTTTCAATGTGTCCCAAGATGGCGGCAGCGTCAACTCCGTGCGAGTGGTATATGTCCACACCAACACGAAGTCCCAGCGGGCACGTGAAAGATGTCACGGCACTTAGACACATAGGGCCTTGTGGACATCTTTTGGCATTTTCCTTGTGGTGTTTCAAAGCAATGGTGTTGGGTGATTCCGCGAACACTACATTGCTGGCCGTGGTCCCTGGGTTTGTTGAGGCACTTTCATCAGGACCATTTCTTACTGTATCAGTGTCCTCAGATGGAATTTCATCGGTTCTTGCAGTTTCTGAAGCATTTTTGTCGCCGTATGAAACATAAATTGCACTTTCAGTTTCGATGAGAAGGGCGTTATTGGCACAGATAGAGTAAGGAATCCAATTTATGATGGCCACCCCTTTCGGAAACAAATCACAGCTAAGCATTGGCGTACCCAGCAACTCCTTAAGTACATCCCCGTCTATATTTTTTAGCAACATGGTCTTGTTACCCCTGTTCATTTGCATTTTCCCTTCAATACGGGCCGGTTTGAAACAAAAACAATATATTTTCCTACTCAAAAGTTCNATCTTGGTGCATAATCTATGAAAATTTTCACTGAACAATAAACTGTCTCTTGAATTTTTTCTCAATTTTACAATCTTAGTCTATTTTGTCAGCATACCTAGGGGATTGATCCCTGTTCAGAAACCAAAAAACGCTGATATTCTAAAAAGAAATCTCACCACATAAATAATATTTAGTTTTCAGTGATTTCCTTCTGATTGCTGATTCAGTTTTAGGGACCATTCTACTTAGACCCTATTGTACAAACTGTGGATCAATCAATCTGTAATGGGATTCTCACTAAATCGCAATCAACTTAAGCAGCTTAAATGTCTGTCACACATACTGAAGCTGCCAGGGGGTAATTAATTATCATTTAGCAGCTTCAGTAGGCATGCCAGATGTCTAAGCTGCTTAAGCTGAAAGCAATTAAGCAAGAAACCCCCGGAGATGGATCGATCCTATTAGATTGTTCTAGGTATGGGAACCCAGTCTTATTTATTCATCATCGTTATTCAGGCCCCATGCCGCCATCAGGTCCCACGCATGAGGAGTCAGTTGCTGCAGAGGTGGAGAGGAGAGCAGAGAATATGAAGAAAAAACTCCTGGGAGAAGTAACATTATTTTATCATGATATTTTTATTTCATTATTTTATAATCTGGGCAGAAGACTCCACATAACTCAAACAGTGGGGACTGGAAATTTTTACACAGAGGTTCTTGTTAAAAATGTAATCTCAGCTTGTTCCACAAGATTTGTTGAAGATATTCAATTAGGGGACATTTTATGCTGTTTGTTACAGTATGTCTATATATATTATATATATTATGTATATAATGTATTATAGTAAATTATGATATTGTTATTTCGAAGCTGAGATACTAGAAGGTTTTCTTTTCCCACATACCTAAATGAAAGCAGAGTCAAAGATGCGTTGGAATGTAATAGGTATGGTGTGAGAGTTGCCTTCTAGTATCTCAGCTTCGAAATAACAATATCATACCTTAAAAAAAATATATTAGTTGGGAAAAAATTATGTGTTTAATTAGGTACAGTTGGCAGCCTTTTGTTATGATTTGCTATTTTCTGATCTTATTCAGTTGGAGGTGAAAAGATTTCTGCTCAGTTGAATTAACTGACATCTGAAGAAGTTTAAAACATTTAGAAAATATAATTGATTATCTTACGTGTAATTGGCTTTATGTGAAAATTAGGCTTTGTTATCTAGAAATGCAGTCTTTGAAATATGTGAGTTTCTATGCCTTGATATTTGTGTTTTCACATACTTGTCTCTTTTTATGTACAGACACAGATGTGTCTGTACATATTGCCATCACCTGCGTCTGTCGTCGCCGATGGCGATGCCGATGCCGATGCCGATGCCGATGCCGTGCACTTTCCTTGTAAACACGATAAGTGGAGGGCAGTTTTACTTTTTGGCTTTATATTTACAGAGCTGATGAATATTCATAAAACGCAGGTCAAGTTCGAAAATCAGCATGATCGGGCCATTATTGTAGAAGTTATGCTGTTTTTTCACTTTTCAGCATATTTTTCACATTTCCTCAGATTCAATTCTTAGGCATGTTAACAGTCTCATTATTAAACTAATAAGATACGTAAAAGTTTTTGTTTGACATTTCCTGCATCTTTACAACATTGTTAGTTGATTTTGTAAAAATGATGGTAAACTTGTTATCGTGTATTGTGTAATAAAGTTTCAAAAATGGAAATAAACTCATATCATTGCAGTTTGTCAGATTCAATCATTCACTATGTTCAGAATCTCAGAATGGAAGAAATTGGACATTTAACACTGCTNAAGAAAACAATTATGGGTGCTGCTGCCATGATGACCATTATGGGAGAACCATGTTACTTATGATTGCCAAATGTTCAAAAAAGAAATGCAGGACTAAAATGCAGCCTGAGTTGGAAAAGTAGTCTAATTGGCTTCTTTTTCTGGAAGTTATACATTTTCAAAGTGTGAACTTGAACTCCCATGGGCCTGAAGCCTTATGCTTGTTACACATTTTACTTACATTGGTATTACCTGTTGAGCATAATTAAAATTTGATGTTGAATTTGCAGTTTAACATAATGTACTTTTGCATCAGAATTGACAGTAGCCTATTTTGTGCATAGTTATTTCCTGCTTTTTTATGTAAGGTTTTTTGAACATTCTCATTTTAGATATTCTATTCGATTCTATTCTATTTACATTTTGTAAAACAACTGACAACTGATTGTGACCCCCTCTGCTACTCTTAACATGTCACAACTGACACATTCATCACAACTCTAATGTTGGTGCTGACGTGAGTGTTTGTTATTATATATAAATGATAAACTTCAGGATGAGATAGAGACCCCAGTGGTCACTGAGAGGGAGTCCTGGATGACTGAACTGCCCCCTGACATGGGGGTCAATCTCGGCCTTGGACCAAGGAAGTTCAGGTCTCAGCCTTTGCCAGAGAAGGGAGACAGGTCTGCATGGACTGATACTCCAGCTGATAGAGAGAGAAAGGCAAAGGTGAAGTTGTTGTTTATATGTCAGCCAGCTTATTTATTTATTTATTTATTTATTTATTTATTTATTTATTTATTTATTTATTTATGTACCCACCCACACACATGTTCATTTATTTATCTGATAATTTTTTGATTTTTTTTATTCATTATTCTGATCTGTTTTAATGAACAAAAAAAAAATGATAAGTCTTCATAAAACGTTCAATGTTTCAAGCATACATGCAGCACATGGAATTCTGTTTGAATTCTGAACTTTGACTGGGGTAGCGCTATCACTCTGGGGTAGCGCTATCACTCGCCAATTTAGCCAAATGCTAAAACTGACTGAAATTGGCTAAACAAAGTGGGGTTGATTTGACTCATTTTAGTCAAATTTGAACAATTTGGACAAAAAAGCGATGAAAAAGTAGCAATTTGGCTTAACGGAAAAATTGCTAGCCCCACCCCAGTTTATATATATTTATTAACTTATCTTTTTATTTATTGTTATGCAGGAAATGCAGGAGGGGCGTGGCAGTAAGCGCCAACATGAAGAGGTCTTTATTTCTGAAAGAGACAGGAAGATAACTGCACAGCTACAGGAGTACAATGTGAGTGTGTCAGTATATGGAAGAGGTTGAAATCTCTGAGACCTACCTTTATGATAAATATTACATTGCCTGTTTAATTTCATTATTTAACTTCTTTTTTTTTTTTTTAGAAACTTTTCTGGGATAATTGCAAAACATTGTCAATTTTTAGGGGACTTCTC